AGAATAGGTACTGTCGTTCCCATTTTATAGATGAGGAAACCAAGGCTCCATCGGAAGAACCACATTCTCCAAACTCATATCCACTGGTCCATGGTGCGTCTGGAATTCCAAACCATGCCAGTGTGGCTGCAGAATTTGCACCCTGAACCAGTCTTTTGGTCAATGGTTGTAAGCATAAAGCAGGAGGGTGTGATCTTCCCTTGGCTGGGGAAGAATTCTCGGGAACTGACCTGGAAGGTGTTCATTGAAGGTTGCGTAGGAATTCACCACAAGTAGCAGAGGATAGGCAGGTGTTGCAGGGAGAAGGACCAGCAGGGACAAAGTTACAGAGGCATAAAAACACACAGAGTCTTTGGAGGACGGAGAGTTGTCTCATGAGGCCAGAGAGGAAGGCTAAGTGAGGACGCTGGACATTTGGGCTGTGGTGTCAGGCACAGCCCCTGGTGGGAGGGCTCATCTGTGTGACAGCAGTGGGGTGGCCCCAGGCAGAGCCAAGGGCCGAATTTCGCAGCCCCGATGGTCTCACAGGTGTGTAGTCTCACACGTAACGAGGTTCAAAATCGCTGGGTTGGGATGTTTCCTGCCTGGAAAGGGAATTTGCAGATGCAGCAGCTTAGTCCCCAGACACAGGACTGTCTTTGGCATTTGATCGTTAGGGCTCATTTAATGCTGAACGTGTGAGACGTGATGACCAGCCCCAGAGACGCACACTGACACGGTGCTGAGAAGAGACGCCCGCCTCAAAGGAAATCACAGTGAGGGGGGTTCACGAGAGGCTGCCGGGGAAGTCCTTGAACATGAAGCTACAAGGCTCGTGGAAACAGTGATGAGTAGAAGGAGTGTCTTGTTAAAGTCAAACTGGACTTGGAAGTCTTTGGCCCTGGTGAGGCCCTTTANTATCCTTCTTTATGTCCTCACTAAGTTCCTTAAACATCCTTATCATCAGTGTTCTAAACTGTCTCTGAAAGGTTGGATATGTCTGTTTCATTTAGTAGTATTTCTAGAGGTTTCTTCTGATCTTTTACTTGGGACATGTTTGTTTCTTCATTCTGGCTGTTGCTCTGTGATTACTTTCATGTATTAGATAGATCACCAGCAAGCAAGTCCATTTGCCGGCTCCACTGGTTCTCCAACTGCCCCTCAGCCTCACCGAGTTGAGCAAAGAGAGACCTCACTATTTTCTACTGCCAGCTCTCGCAGAACTGCTCTTCCCGGCAAAGTAACTCTGGGCTGGTGAGCTCGGTGTGGGTCGGAGGGTCTCTCCCCCAACCAGAGAAGCCTCCCCACCGCTGAGGTGTCCCTCATGGGTTCTCCCTCTCTCATCTTCTCCCCTCCTACCAGACTCGACATGGCCTCCTCTTTAAGTCCTTCATTTAAAGGTTCTGTTCATCTAGTGTTCAGGGGACTTCCGAGGTTGAATATTTTATAAATTATTTGGAATTTTGGTGTGATCCTGGGAGGCAGTTGGCACAGCGTCTGTCTATTCCACCATCTTACCAGAAGTCCCATATGAGCTTATTAGTGAAAGTAGAATTGGCTTGCAAAGAGCTTTTGGTTAGAAATTTCCTTATTCATC